GGGGGGGGGGGGGGGGGCTAAATGTCTTTGGGCCCTAAAATGTCTTTAACAATGGTCGGTAATAAACCACAAAGTTAAATGATATTATTTCAGTTACCTGTGTAGACAAAACAATTAGAGATATTTTATGACATTTTGTTACCTTTAGGACTCTGAAAATCTCCTTCTAAAGTGCAGGAAATGGCATTTCAGAGACTCTAGTTTTAAAATTTTCCCGGGGGAAATGCCATGCCTGATGCCCCTGTACCTCCTACACTGTTACCTGTCGTCACCTGTCTTCGGTGGACGCAAAGTGTGCCCCCCACTTTTACAACCATTCTGGCGCCCCTGGCAATAATAATCTGCTTGAACTGCAAGATCTTCTTTGTAACATTTGAGTTCTGTTAACCAGCATTTAAACTTTTGTTTAGCCTTTTTTCAATACATCAAACCTCACCTTCCAACATGTAAATAGCCCGTAAGATGCCTGTTCAGGAAGTAGGGAAAATGCAATTTGAATATCAAACACCTTGCACAAAGTCGAAGGTCAGCTAAATATTCTAATTCTACATTCTTAGCTTGGCCTGCATAGACGATATAATATGAATACCTTCAATGCTTGTAATTTTTTACTTTTGTATGTGTGGCAAAGCTAGCCATAGTAACAGCTAGGTCATGCTATGCAAATTTATTATTTGCATTCAAATGATGTAGGTTTATTAGCATAGCATGACCAGTTGCCATGGCTAGCTTCGCCACTGAATACTGTATAATATCATATATAGAAATACTAAGTCAGTTTTTGTCCTAAATATTGTTTTAATGGCATCTTTAAGGTTACCCTTGTTGACATTTTTGTTTAATTAATACATCGGCTTCAGATGACACCATTCATTTTAATGATTAAGATTGTACTCAGTCAGAACTGCAAAACTATATAATAAGAAAGAAATTGTCAGCATTATCGAAAAATATAGTATACCCGCGGAAATGTAGTGACATAGTCAGGTGAACATATGATTAGGCAGGTAGAATTATTTTATATTATGCTAACAATGGACATATCTCGGAGAATAAACCGACCCGTCATCAGTGGCGTAGCCAGAACGATAATTGGGGGGGGGGGGGCATATTCATATATTCGTGTTCACATACCATAAAAACAATTGATTTCAAAAGAAATTAATAAAGCAGAACACGAATATATGAATATGGGCCCCGCAATTATCGTTCTGGCTACGCCACTGCCCGTCATACAAAAGTCGGTTGGCATGCTGTAACTGCTGGTAAGTTAATATATGCAGACAACAATCCACACTGGGTTGCTATAGGAATCTTATTAAGCCTGATTTAATATAAATTATTAAAGACATGCATAAATATTTTCCTCAAGTAACATATCATTTGCCATTCTTAGCAAGAGTGGAATATAATGTAGCATGAAATCGTATAAAATGACACTATAGCTTGACTAAAACGTGAAATATGTTCTGCCAATTTTTGGCATGCACAAGTATACACAAGTGAAATACTTGCACCAATATTATCAATACAATGTTTATAACTAGTTTTTGCCTTAATGGTTCTAGGTACCACGTACAATGGGCAGTCAATAGTTTTTGTGTGTGTCAATCACAGAATCACATATCTCGTAAGAAAACATGTTCGTACAACATGAAGCACTGACAACTTTAGGTAAGTTATCTACAGACATAAATTCGACACCAGGTTCTAAGACAACAAAGCCATTATCCAGAGCTTGCAAGTACATTTTGTATCCTTGTAATAAGACTTTATTCAATTTTTGACCAATCGATCAGTGGTATATTTTGGGCAAGTTAAAAGTGCCGATAATATTCGCCTTGAAGTATATAAGAAGAAAGAAATAGAGCCATACTTACCTGAATGTTTCTGAATATTTTCGATCACTTGTATCAGGTCGTACTAATTACAGACAACCGACAACTACCGTCAACAACCGTAAAAGTAAAGTAAAAGCTTGAAAAATCTTGAGCACATGGAGATGCGTGTGCAATACAACATTTTGTTTCGACCGCTCCCCTCATTTAACAAACGTTCCTGAAGCTTTTAATTATTCCCCCGGATTACGACATCTTTACAGACAGACGGACACAAGATCGAGATGTCGACCATACATAGATCGCGCGAAAGACTGGGTCGAGTGGACTCTGGAGAAACCGCCACGTGTCAAGAATAGTGTGCTGCCTCGCTACGCTCGGCAGCAAAAAGTTTAAAATAAGTTAAAAATTTATAATACTCTATTCAAGACAATAAAATATGTTATCATCATGTTACCATCGCATTCCTACCCTAAATTCTAAAACGAAGTTATTATTTTTATTATTATTATTATTTAAAAATATTTTAAAACGGTAGCTCTTCAGGGCTCGTAGGCACCTGCTTTTCAAGAGGCCGTTTGTTACAAGTATTTACAAGCTATAAATATAATAACACAAATATATACACAAAAACAGAGAAAACATAACGAACTTAATAATTGCATGCACTACATTTGTTTCTGAATATGTCCTATTTCTATTTAGATATTTACAAAGTTACCAAATTAAATCAAGTGCCGTCAAGAATACGTTTAAATTTGTTAAGGCTAATGCCTTTTTCTTTTGCTGTAATTGATAAGTCATTCCAAAAGGAGGCAGCTGAATAACTAAAACTCTTTTTCATAAAATTTGTTTCAGGTTTTCCAAGATCATAGTTGTTTTGTTACTTCTTAGATCATATCTGTCATTCTTATTTTGAACATGTTAGAAATTGATGATGGCATTTTTTCGTTTCGTATTCTGTGCATAAAAATTGATTTATTGGTTTTATAACGTTGGTTTAAAGGCTGCCAGTCTAATTCTTTTAAAACATCCTCAGAACTAACTTCATAAGTTTTACCAGTGATGATTCGGGCCGCTCTATTTTGTAATTTCTGAAGTCTGTTTTTTAGGTAATCACAACCGTTATCCCAAACCAAGCTACAATAATCAAAGTGCGATAACACGATGGCATTATATATTTTTAGAGGGTCCTGAAGGGGGGTCCCAATCCCATTTCCCACCTGAAATTTTGGCAAAATCCCAGTCCCAGTTGGATTTTTATTAGAAATCCCAGTCCGAGTTATTGAAATCCCAGTCAATAAAAAACCCTTTATATATCGGTACAATAAACAGTTTTAAGACTTTTAAGCCACCGTGTGTGCAAGTGGCGCACACTTTATGAAATTGGGGTGGGGGCTTGTGCCGAAGGCACGGAAAATTTTTTAATTTGAATCCCGGAAATGGCATTTGCAGCATTCTGAGACACGCATAATCAGAAAACCCAGAATTCCGGGTGCCAGAGTATGCCTGTTCGCAGGTAGTGCTGTGAATAATATAGTTAACAACAAAAATCATGACCAAAGACACCAAAAACGGATCAAAATTGGGAATCGACTCACATTTTTGAGGACTTCGTTTCCCATTCCCAGTGGCCAAATCCCAGTCCCAGCAACCCAAATCCCATTTACCCAGTCTAAAAATAGATCAATCCCAGTTCCCATTTTACCCCTTCAGGACCCTCTTTTTACTAAGGTTGATTTGGGAACAAACTGTTTTATTCGTCGCATCATTCCTTTTGAAGCTTGTGTGACAGTATTTTGGATTTGATGATTCCATAAAAGATGTTCATCAATAATTACGCCTAAAGTTTTTTATTTGTGAACCCGTTTCATGACTGATTCACCAAGTTCAATTTTAGGGTCCGTTACTAAGTTTGAAATTCGTAGTCTTGAGCCAATAATCATATATTCAGTTTTATCTTTGTTAAGTGTAAGTTTGTTTGCAAGTAACCATTGGTGTACATTTTCTAAGTCCACGTTAATGCGTTCTTGTAGTTCGTCATTTGTCTTGCCATTGGTTGAAATATTTGTGTCATCGGTAAACATGCTTGCTGAAGATGAGGTCGGGCAATTTGGCAGGTCGTTTATATATAATAAGAACAGAAGTGGCCCAAGATTAGAACCTTGGGGTATTCCACATTTAACTGTTCTTGTTTTGGACATCGTTTGATCTACCTTGCATATTTGAATCCTGCTAGAAAGATAGGACTGGAACCAAGCAAGCGTATGACCTCTTATTCCATAACAATGCATTTTTTTAACAGTATATTATGGTCAACACAGTCAAACGCTTTCTTGAGATCCAAAAAAATCACTCCATTTAACAAACCATAACAAACCTTATCCATATTCATTAGCCATTGGTTTGTGATGTTAAGTGGAGAAGTTTGTGTAGAGTGATTTTTCCTAAATCCTGCTTGTTGTTCCACAAGTATGTGATTAGTTTCAAGATAAATTTCTAGTTGCTCTGTAACTAATTTCTCATATATTTTAGCAACTGAGGATAGAACCGAGATTGGTCTATGATTATCGCAATTAGTTTTGCTTCCAGCCTTATGAATTGGAGAAATAATAGCAATCTTGAAATCTTCAGGAAATATACCAGTGTTTATACAGGGTGTATAAAAAAAAGGAGACCTTTAGAAATCAACCATATTGTTAAAATTTGAATGCCTTTTCAATTGCACATTTGCTGAAACGTGGTGCGTGAAATATTGATGGTGCATATATTAGAAAAAGGAGACCTTTAGAATTTGAAATAACGTTTAAACAAAAGTTTGTCTGCTCCTGGGAACAATCTGCCATGCATACTGTACGTAGATCGCATGTTACGCACTCGTTGGCTTAGCAAAGTGCTCCAGGATTCAAATTATAACAATGGTTGATTTCTAAAGGTCTCCTTTTTCTAATATACTGTACAGGGTGTATAAAAAAAAACGCAACCTCGGAATTTCCCAAGAAATCACTTTGCAATTCTTAAGCATAAAAGATTTTAGGCCCCTGGGAATTGAAATCGAATTGCTAATAGATCATATTACTGTTCGGTTGTGCATTAAATAAATGCATAAATTTTGTTTTATGCACTCGCGTGTGCAGTAATTTTGACAGTTATGCTATTTTAAATTCCCAGGCGCCTAAAATCTTTTGTCTTTAAAACAATGTCGATTTCTTGGGAAATTTCGAGGTTGCGCTTTTTTTGATACACCCTGTATGCACTCCATCAATATTTCACGCACCACGGTTCAGCATATGTGCAATTGAAATGGCATTCAAATTTTAACAATAAGCTTGATTTCTAAAGGTCTCCTTTTTTGATACACCCTGTAGATGCGTTAAAGATTGCTGTTAGTGATGGTGCTATTATTTCAGCAGCGTCTCTTAGAAGTAGTTACCGAGTATTCTATCATGCCCTGCTGATTAAGATGTTTTAATTGTAGAGAGCAACTTATATACCTTAGTTAATGAGACATTTTGTATCGTAAATTGTGTATCGGGCCTAGTCGCGTATGACTCAGGCGTCCTTGAGCTCTGTGGCATGTTTTTGACCAAGCGGGATGCAACTTCGTTGAAATGTGAATTTAAAGCATCTGCAATTTCATGTTTTTTAGTCAAATTTTGATATAAGAGTGGTTTTTGACTGTTTGTTTGTAAGTTCATTAATTGTTTTCCACATTTTCTTTGGGTTGTTATCACAGCCATTTAAAGTATTTGTAAAGTAAATTGCTTTTGTATTCTTAATTAATCTATTTCGTGTGCATTTATAAGCATCATGGAATTGTTTTGATCCTGTCTTAACTGCTTTTTTCTTTAAAAAGTCTCTTCAACGCATAGTTTGTTTAATATTTTCTGTAATCCATGGCGCGTACTCGCTTCTAACTTTTTTTGTTCTTTCTGGTGCATGAAAATCTGCAACCGACAAAAATATTGTTTTCCAATTTTCCCACATAATATTTGGATCAAGCATTGTATCACAGAATATTTGATCATATAAGTATGTGTAAAGGTCTGATTTAAAGTTGTTTGAGTTATAGTGTTTGAAATTTCTTGATTTACTCACTTTTGGCTCTTTATGGAGAACGGAAATTTTTCTCTGTATATAGATTAAGCTGTGATCACTTATCCCGAGATGAATGACACCCGAGCCATTTATCAATTCCGGTTTATTGGTGAATGCTAGATCTATTAAGGTTTTACTATTAGTTGTAATTCGCGTTGGATCACTAATGACACTAATTAATTGTTGAAATTGAAATGTCTGTGCAATTCCAGCAAGCTTGTTTGTCTGGGCGTTAGCGCTGTTACTATCCAAGCGAGACCAATCGCAGTTGTAATCTCCAAGTAAAATGATTTCCTTGTTTTCAGAATCCATTCGGGTAATTAAATCCTCGAATATAAAGAATACTAATTAGGAGTGTTTTATCAGGTTTAAAGCCACTGCACGTGACATATTATTGTTGACATGATTTGCCAATAAGCTTATGAATTATTATTGAGTGTTTGAACGTCAGTTAAATCGTCTCTTATTATGAAGTTTATCGAGGTTCTTATGTATATCGCGACTCCACCACCGTGCCTATTCCTGTCTTTTCTCACAATATCATAACCATTAATTTTTATCTCTTGATTTGAGACAGACAGGTCAAGCATGGTTTCGTTAATGCTAATTATTTCGAATTGTTGTTTACAGTCCCACAGGTCTTAGAAAACATTTAACAATTAGTCGCCGAAGGCGAGGTGATTATATACAAGCCTATACTAAATTCATTGAGCCGAAGGCGAATTGAATATTCAACAATTAGTCGCAGATATTCGCCGAGACGGAGTCGAGGTGAATATTCCCCGATAATCACCGAGCCTGAGGTGCCTTACACAACCTTTTTGGGACTGAATTTATTTTAATTTCGTTTATTTCTTTATCAGTAACTTCCACAAAACGGCTAGCCGCCATTTTGTAATTACAGGTGAATATAACAGCTTAATACGTCAAATTTGAACAATCAACTTGTAGGATTTGTTATGTTCACTTGTGCAAAAATTTTAAATACTAAAGGCTTATAATCACCGCGAGCCTGAGGCGACTAATTGTTTTAGTATAATTTCAGTATTGAAAAAGTTTTATTTAAAATTAAACTAATGTACGTGTTTATTTTATGAATATAATTTGCATCTGATTTTCAGCCATTTTGGGGGAAAAGCAATAGTTACTGAGCAGCAACTATTAGGGAGCTTTAGCAGCGACTACGAGTACGAGTACGAGATTCGTCAAGCGAAACGTACGCTGTATGCTTACGCCATCCCGTACTGACGCGAAGAAGTCGTAGCCGTCGCCAATCTGAGAACGAAATCACAGATGAGGTAAATACAGATGTGAATCTCACGGCAAATTGTGTCACACCGATTAAATAAACTTTAAAATTGTATTAATTCACTATTTTATTAAATTTTGATAATGCAGAGAAATAAAACTATACATATTATAGAAGTATTCATGTTTTTTGTATGCCAGAGTTATGTTTTGAGGAATTTATATCATTCGCTGTTTTGTTATTATACATGAGCATCTGAAATTCCCAGCAAGTGTATTTCACGATTTTAATAAGAAGTAGATAGGGAAAAAAACAAACTTTTGCTAAATAAAATGATATATTAACACTTTTAATAAAAAGAAATTAATAAAAGTGATCGCTTACCGATACTCTTGAAGAATTAATTCCAAAAATAGCCGTCGGTAGCGTAGATTTTTTAAAAAAACAATTTTTCGTCTTTCGAACGGCGTTTTCCTATCTCTTTCCTTATTAAATTTCAGAACGACACTTGCCAGCGCTCGCCGGAAGTGAGAATTCCGTGTGACACAAAACAATCAGCGATTTGACGGAAGATTCACATCTGTACCTACCTCATCTGTGACGAAATTGTGGACAAAGATTAAGTATATAAAGATGGCCGACTCGCGGAAAATTCCTTTGTTCTCGGTGTCCCCCGTTTCGGAAGCCCACGCGGTTTCCACGCGTTTCGTCTGGTAAGCGCCGAACAAAATTTTTGTATTGAATTGTATGGCGAAATGCCGAATTTTCGCAATAAAACAGCGATTTTAAAAACATCTACCGCCCGATCTTTATTTTGAGGACAAAATTTGAAAGAACATGTCAAGCTGCGTCTGTTAAACGGAAAATTATTACACAAACATTGTACCTGTATACAAGAAAGCGGAAAAGGATCAAGTTGAAAACTACCGCCCCATTTCTCTCCTCTCTATAATTTCGAAAGTTCTCGAGCGCTGTGTTCTTCGTAACATCCGAGATCACTTGGTAGTCTTGATCAACAACTCCCAACATGGTTTCATTCCAGGAAAATCTTGTACTTCCCAGCTGGTGGAAGTGCACGACTATATAGGATCTTTACTGGACGCTGGGAAACAAACTGACGTGATCTACATGGATATGTCCAAAGCCTTTGATAAAGTTAACCACCAAATTCTTATTCATAAACTTTACAACTGCTTTGGCATCTCTGGTAGTTTACTCGGTTGGTTCTCCTCCTACTTGTTGAACAGAAGGCAACGCGTGACTGTTCTAGGGGCTACATCATCTGAAAAACCTGTTATGTCTGGTGTCCCTCAAGGTTCTATCCTGGGTCCAATACTCTTTCTCCTTTATGTTAACGACCTACCTGATGTGGTGAATAACGCAAACGTAGCTTCTTTTGCTGACGACACAAAATTATTCAAGTGTGTCGATTCTCACATAGACGGTGCCTCGATTCAAAGTGATCTTGATAATCTTGAGGAGTGGTCGACTTCTTCTGGACTTGTATTTAATCAAAATAAATGCAAATGTCAGAGAATTACCAGGAAAAAAACTACCACCGAATTCCCCTACACCATCAAAAACAAAACCCTCGCAGTAACAACAGAGGAGAAAGATCTTGGCGTTTGGGTTACTAGTAATCTGACATGGTCCAAACACACCCTAGATCGATGTGCCGCAGCCAATAGGATGCTCGGGTTCGTACGTAGATCTGCAACGGAAATCACGGATAAAAGGATTCGCCGTGCATTGTATTTGGCAGTTGTGCGACCAGCGCTGGGCTACGCCACTCAAGTGTGGTCGCCGCAGTCGGTGGAGCTCATCAACCGAGTGGAACGTGTTCAACGCCGAGCTTCAAAGTTTATTCTAGGCCTCCCATTCATGTGTGACGTTTCCTATAAAGACAGACTCATTTCGACAGAACTTCTTCCCCTCTCATATTGGCATGAATATTTAGACTTAATGTTTTTCTTCAAAGCTATTACTGGCATTGTATCGATATCTCAAAATTCCTTACCTGAACGTATTGCTCCCGTAAGAGTCACAAGATCATCTGCTAATGTCAACGCAATATCATTCCGTCAACGAAAACATAAAACAACAACTTATAATCGATCATTCTTTCTTCGAACAACTAGAACTTGGAACTCTCTCCCGGAGCATTTAAGGCTTATTAATCTATCTTTTATCCAATTTAAGAAAGGAATATTAGCATACTACTTGACTGCATTACGATCCTGCTACAACGTTGACGATCCACGAACTTGGAAGACTGTCTGTGTCAAATGTAACACAAGCAGAAGTCTCATCCGACCATTAACTTGCTGTTACTAGAGGGGCCTTTGCACATTGCGATTTGTCCTGTGCGATTCGGATTTTGGTTTATGAAATTCATTTGATGCCTCAATTCCAAAAATCTGATTTGAAGCGAAACTTTAAATGCGCAATTGACGCGTGCCTACTCGAAATGGATTCGCCAAAATACGAGTCGTACACGGCGGATCGCGGTGTGTAAACGTACCTTAAGTAAACTAAGTATAATTACATAGGTGATTATTGAAAATTTTCCAAGCTGATTGGTTGCCGTTGAGGTGATTATAACGCGATAATCACCTAAGTTTTGACTATTAAATGATTAAGAAATGTGTATTTTTATTTTTTTTCCCAAACAATCACCTATGAAATTATACTAAAACGATTATTCGCCTCAGACTTGGTGGTTATTGTTAAATGAAAACTTCGACTTTGTCTCTGTCCCTACTCACCGATAATCACCTGGCCTTCGGCAATAAATTGTTAATTATTTCTGTTTTCTATATTTATATTGATATTTTGTAAAGGGCCCACTGTAATTGGTGTTAAGCTGTTGTGGTGTCCCAGCTTCTTTAATGCAATTGTTGTATAATGTTTGGAAGCGAAGCACAATAAATAAATAAATATAAATTATAGCATCTGACCAATGAGAATTTCGCGTCGCGATTTGAGACGCAGATATTCAAATTCATTAGTCATCGATGTAGGCTCTCAATTCAGCTTGAGAGCCTGTTCGCAGGCTAGGATTTACTCGGGGGTGGGGTGAACGAAAGGGTGTGTGCACCCACTTGACTTTGGTAAAAAGGGGGAGGGGCCAATTTCCTTATCAGATTCCATTTTTTTTATTTGGAAAGGCAACATGTTAGTACCACCCACGGTGGAACTCACGCTAGTATTTTGAAAACATAATAGTATGTGAAATTGCACACACATGTGGTTCGGTTAGCAAACCATTTAAATAACTGCACACTATATTACAGGGCTCGGTTATATGAAGGCTGGATAGCGCTATGGTGATTTTTCAAGCTTTCCAAAATTTGCCATTTATTGATGTAAACAAGACTAAACTTAAAAGATGCTGTAAAGTACGTTCTGCGCATCAGTTCTGCTCATAGCAAAGGGCGACCTGCAGATATAAACATTGCCCAAATTTTGCATCTTTCGAACTTTTTTGAATTGAAATGTATAGTTTATAATATTCATTTACAAGTATAGCGAACCAGAAAAGTGTCAGATATATTCAGTTAGTATATCATATTTTACAAATACAGCAGTTCAAAATGTAAACAAAGCGTTTGTGTAAAATTACGGACTTCACAGCACCTTTTGTCAGAAAGCGGTATCTATTTCCCGTGCGTAATACAAAATGACTGAAAAACGGCAAACTTCGCAGGGCTATATTATCCGCATTTTACAACATTTCGCAACGAAACTTGGGAAAGATGCTCTTTCAAGCTGTGGTGAAATTTTTGTCTAGACTTGTTGAGATCAAAATTTTGGTTATTAGGTAATAGGTCAATTAGTCCCACAGATTTTCGCATTAATACGTTTGACAGTTTCCGAGTTATTCTGTTGACAAACACACCCTTTTAAACCCTTTTATCAATTGCGAATTCCATATCTGTGGTTCAAAGTTTTTCAAGGCATTTTATAGAAAGGTGGAGAAAATCAGCTATCCGCCCTTCGTACAACCGGCCTCAGTTCGTTAAATTAAATACATAATTGTCGTGTATAAAAATGCCGAGTTCCGTAGTCCTATATTATATAGTTTAAAAATATATTCGGTTATATATTGCCTACCTACCACTATTGTTGCATAGTTAACTTTTTATTTTGATTACCCACTCGGCGCGTGGATTCAATCTTGAAAGTTGCAACAAATTCGTTTCCATATCCAAACATCGTTCACCTAAAACAAAAGAAATAAAGTCAGGGGTGAATTGTCAAGGGCTTGTTAGGAGCGGATGCGAAAAATACAACTATACAGCTTTATAGGCCCTCGGCTCTGGCAGGAATCGAAACTGCGACTCAAGTGCACTGTATATATAGAGTCCAGTTGTCGAGCTCTTACCGTAATGTAACCAGGCCTTTAAATATCGGTCGGTCACAGACATTGTCCAACCCATTTGTGAAATTGTCTTCGTACGTAAAGAGGAAACCATACGACATTCTGTCCGACCCATGCAAGAAACTGAGGTTTATTGTTTAATTAATGTTTATCCGACCCGAGAGAATCGGTGTCCGACCTAACTGTAACTTTGTCCAACGTAAATTAAAATGTACCCTAGTCCAAGACTAGAGGCTCGTATATATGTTACATGGAGAATCTGAGTAATGTATAAAATGTGAACTGGAAATGTGTAATCAAGTGCGGGGTTTTCACTGTGGAAATTCATTGTCAAGATTCAAAAGGCTACTCCAAATTGTGCTGATATTAATTTGTGTCTGTATTCATACTTAATTTATTTATTTATTTATTAACTTTACAATCATACAAAAATTATAACTATGATTGAAGCTATGGTCAACAGGACATGAGTCCCATGTGAAGACCAACCTGATACAATACAACAAGTAGACATACATTAAAGACAAGGACTAGAACACTATTTACATAACTATATAAAAATTAATAGTTTAGATTATGAGCAACGGCTTAAGTTGAAAGAACGGCATTTAGAGCAGTAGGTTTTCCAAGTGCGCATTCTGTTAACATCGAAAGAAGAATCTAATTGAGAAGAGTAGTGAGAATGGAGCTGGAGTTTAAAGGATGAAACAGAAGAACTGTGACGAAGCCAAACTGAACTCAAAGTCACCGGACATCCATCGGACATCACAATACATATGTCCCACCCAAACTCATCGAACATTTTGTGAGCTGGATCTCTGACCGATATTTTAAGAGGCCTGGTATAGACCTTATTCATAAATCGTGACGAGGCCTCGTATCCTAGGATACGGGAACAAAACGCGGGAAAACAAGCGAAAACTGCTTGACAAGCCAAATTCAGATGCTTTTGTGTCGACTTTAACTGCTTGTTTCTTTTTGCGATTTATGACGATTTTTGTGTGTATTTTAAGACTTTGTGCCCACAACGAAAGCGGTAAACGAGTATATTATAAAAGCGACCGGTTTTTCTCCCGTTTTTGTGTGGAAAAAATGACAACGTAGCGATGGTGTTTATCCAGAAGCGAAAAACAGTATTTTACTGAGATTTTAACGTCAATATAAAGGTTTATTCCGTGAAGAATCAAGACAACTATGGAATGGAAGTATAATTTTTCGAATTTGACATAAATATGAAAGAAAATAACAGTCAAAAATCACAAGAGAACGTCAAATGTTATTGATTCGTACGAAAAAATATGAACTATGACTGTGGCTCGATAACATTCTGCAAGCAGCTTACAAGTTTAAAAAATAAAGGCTACATTACCTGAGTGAGTTGTAATCTTATTTCTTCAACAATTGTTTCATATTTCTTACGATTTTGGTGTTGTATAGACGTTTTGTAGCCTTGTTGGTTGTTTGTTTCGGCCATACAAACTACGACAATAATACAAAGTCAAAGGTTTCCTTTTTCGATTGACTCCAGCATCTTTTGCTTTAAATGTCATGTTATATTTTCTCAGAAGTATTTTTTTCAACTTTCAAGCTCAGTTTTATAGATATATTTTCGAAAAAAGCCGTAATATTCACGAAAAAAAGCTGCCATAGCCGACAGCAAAAAAAAACATTTTGTCAATTTTCCCGCGTTTTGTTCCCGTTTCCTAGGATACGAGGCCTCATCACGATTTATGAATAAGGTCTATAGCTTACCTATATTACCACCAACTTCATAAAGAAAATGATTATCTCCACAGGGACACTTATTTCCTTGCTGCGGGCGTCCTGCATTAGCAGGGACCGTGTTTTGCTTCCATGCTTCTTTATATTTCGTCGTGGCCTTGCAGAACTTGTCGACGACATCTCTTGCCTTCGTATTCTTGCTCAGTTGGAGGGCCATGCCCACTTTGTTCGACGATGGAGCTTTCACTCGAATGATGTGATTCTCAAACTCGTGCTGGGGGGAAAACGAAACGAACAGCGAGTTCAAATATTCCTGATATTATAATTTAAATGAGGGGTCCCATTCAATATTTCTGATATCATAATTTAAATGAGGGATCCTATCCGGCCGCATAAAAAAACGCACAAGTTGTAACAAACTGTAGCAGACTTGCAGTGCGGTTCCAACAACTCGTCAACGAGATGTGTTCGCACTGCTTGTTCCCAGCTTGTTGACAAGTTGTCAATGGCTTGTTGAAACCCGGGGTTAGAGGTTAGGGGTGGGGTAAGGATCAATCTGATACACTAATAAGGGTCACATGAATAAATTTTTTCTCATTTCTGAAGACATTTTCAATTTGCCAGTATAACTGCTAAAACATCTTTTTCAACTATAAAGCTGTTACTTAGAGCGTAAGTTTTCGATGGAATATTATAATGTAATGTCCCGTATATGCATGCACAACAATTGACTAAACTATAGTAAATATCATTCTTCTGTTCATTCATAAATTTCTACACGGCCTTATATATGAAAAGCAACCATTTTAATTATTTGAAACTTTATTAGAAAACACCATATTATGTTTTTGATGTTACTCTGAGTGTACATCCACACCGAGCAGGCTGAAAAGTTAGCCTGACCACGGTGGGAATCGAATCCGCGACCTTTGGGATACTATAGTCCACACACATTACAAACACCATATTCTTAATAGATATAGGTTGATAAGCTACCGTGTATAAACAATTTTGAATAATAATCCTCAGCTCGCTGCATTGCCTTCCATTAAATACTGTGCACCTAAACCACAAATCGGCCGACTAAAGTCGTAGCGTGTGCGCCCGGCTTTACTCTATAGCCAAGATTTGTGACAGTTTGCTGTACCTCTATCCTGTCAAGATCTTCCAGTGATTGGGATTTCTTCATTGGATTCACGTGATACATTGTGGGATCAGAGGCTCCTCTCTTTGCCTTTCTCTTCTTGCCCTGAAAATTTCCAACGGATTACTTGCATATCCGGAGATAAGATGAATATGCGCACGCGCTTATAATATTGCCGCACCTTGCACACAGAACCATAGATATCTTACATACACTAGATAGCGCATCTCTTTTAGTAAAATTGAAGCCAAGAATATTCCAGCGGTTACCCCCATTTGAATAGATGGCGGCCATGTTGGCAGTAACTTTCATCATTTGAATAGTTTAAAAATGTATTTGGAATAGGTTTAACTTAATGTTTAAGTTCCCTGTTTAAGAAATAGAAAATATACGAATCTTCTCATTTCATGGGAATATCCTGAGTCTGCAATCACGGCTTCAATTTTTGAATTGCAAAATAATTAGATGCACTATCTAGTGTATACAAGATATCTATGCACAGAACTGGTCACGGTCATACATGTTACGCCTACCTTGGGTTCTTTGGATTTTTCAGATTGTTCGACTTCGTATAAGAACCGAACTTGCCTGACCATGAACGAAGGTACCTTCAAGATAAGAAAACCTTGGTAGATCAGTAATCATTTGAAACATCGTTAAATATTACTAGAACAAAGTGAAAGCCCTGCATGGTCAAATGAGGATGACATGAGAGTTGACAAGCAAGAGTTTGCATGAGAGTTTCCTCAACTCTCATGCCCCGATCAAACCAAACGAGAACAAGAGTTGTATGAGAGGTGGCTCTATATATTACCAGTCAAACGAGCAAAAATGCTCATCAAATTTCATCAACATTCGAACCAGCTCAGAGTTGATGAAAGTCGATGAGAGTTGTGAATTTTATTCAGGGCAACTAATTTTCATGTCCAACTTGCCCTGAGGGCAAGTGGTCAAAAAAGTAAAGTTACACCACTGACGTCAGCATCGAGTTTCCTAACCTTATTCTATTGATTAAAGTGGCACTGTCATCAACATTTTTATTTTATTAAACGAACATGCTCGTAAAACTGTATAGTAACTTGTTTTGAAGATTTTTGTTCCCATGCTCAGTTCTTGAGATATTTGATTTTGTTTGTAACCATGTGACGTCATTTACTCAATTACATATATAATGAGGTATCTGTAATTGTTGTGTATCTTTGCTATTTTTTATCAAAATCTTTCAAAGATGTGGCGCGTTTGTTAATTTAACCTGCATCATTAAGCATACTGTTTTTTTTAAACAAATCCATAAAAAATAGCAAAGATACACAACAATTACTGTCGTTCCAATTGAAGTGTTCCTCAAATATTGATTCAATACATTACCTCGGGCTGACCAATTCATTTGATCAAGTTCCTCGAAATATTCATACAATTTCTAGTATAATTGTAAACTTCCTGTTGAATAGTTTGAATGCACCAATCACCTTTGTTGTTTGTGCAACTAACCAATCATAAATAGAAAGGAAGTGACCAGAAATGATCAAATACTTGGAATTGGCTCTTTCACAGGAAGTGTATGTATTGAATCAATATTTGAGGAACACTTCAATTGGAACGACAGTAATGATATCTCATTATATATGTAATTGAGTAAATGACGTCACATGGTTACAAACAAAATCAAATATCTCAAGAACAAAGCATGGGAACAAAAATCTTCAAAACAAGTTACTATACAGTTTGTTTTAAGAGCATTTCGTTTAAGAAACTAAAAAATTTGATGACAGTGCCACTTTAAGCTTCTACTAAATGCCTGTACAAGAACACTTACAGTCCAAAGTATGGAGTGGTATTTTATCAACATTCTGACAATATTGATGGTTCCCTTCGCCATTTCAACTTCCCTCAACGACGCTCCGGATTTATTGCCAGTACTGAGAAACAGGTTGGGCGCCATTATCATGGCAACATTATTCAAGTCCATCTTGTTCTCCTTTTGTTTTGCAATGATACGACACAGAAATAACAGCAGCAGCTGAAAATTGAAAACATCACTTTAAATGCCACTTCAAACACTCATTAATAATTCATAAGCTTATTGGCAAATCATGTCAACCATAATATGTCACGTGCAATCGCTTTAAACCTGATAAAACACTCCTGCTCGTTTATTAACCAGTACATTACACCAGGCAAAGTCATCCAAATCAACTAGTGTATATTGATTCGATAGCAACACAACTGAGTTCTGTAACCAAACTATAATGTATCACTACTTTCATTCTTCCACAAGATAAGTTCAAGAATTAAATCTACAAAAATCCAAGATGGCGGACATTTAATTTCTTTCGATTAAAATATTTGTAGAAGTAAGCAAGATATGAAAAAACGGTAGAAGACTTTTATATATGGTTTTAAATGTTCTTTCATACGAGAAAATAAAAAAATATCGCCACTTCCCTTTAAGATGGCAAGTAACTAAATCAGTTTTACGAAATAGTACGTCGTTTTCAGGCCATAAAGTAGATCAGGTTGAGGAAAAATAACTTTGTTTGAAAGCTTAGAGTGGAGGAAGGAGAGCAGAGTTGATATTTCAAGTACTAAACAAAGTAACCGGCGGTAAACCTCGTGGCACCCCCGGCGGCCGCCTGCTTATTTTGAAAGCCTTGCCTCGATGTCAAATGCATAGCCTTAACTGGACCTCTAGGGAGAACAGTTGAATATTGAATATTGACTTTATTGACACTCCCCTAAAGGGGTTTTCAGTGACAAAAATACATTTACATATCAATTAATTACTATAATTATACATTAGATCCTAAATTTATATAATTAGATCACGCAAATACTTTATACACAAAACACGACATCAAATCTTGACAACATTAACAACAGTAACCTACTGTAGGCATCAACATCATCAACAACGACAGCAAAAACAACAACAACAACATCAAGGACAATAACAACGACAATGACAACAACGCTTACTGATTAACAGAAGAAAAACATGCCCTTAACTATCTAGAAATTGCTGAAGCAGTTCCCGTTTCAGTTTAATTTTAAAGCTTGGAATAGATTTGCAAAGTTTTAAGTCAGGGTTAATGTTGTTCCAGAGAGTGACAGTTCTGTAATGGAATGTTCTTTGTCCGGCAGTTGATCTGCATAACGGAACGTCTAGCTGTTTAATGTTTCTTGTATCGCGACCACTCACTTCACCTCTCGTTTTGAACTGGGACGATAAGTAGGCAGGTGCGCAATCGTTCATGCATTTGAAAGCTACAGTTCAGACGAAGCTATCTAGTATAGAATACACGTACCCGTAAAGTGTCGCGGTGGGCGACGGGAAGTAAAAGAACCAATAGGTTTAATGCTTGTAACTGTTGGACTCTGTCGGGAATTTCTATATAAAGAAATAAAATAGGATTAAAGGGTTATTGACCAAGCGTGAGGTCTGTGCTGTGAAATATCAGACCGAGGTATTTTAGTATGGACCGAGCGACGAAGGAGCGAGGTCCATGCAAAAACAGAGGTCTGATATTTCACAGTACAGACCGAACAAGCGGCTTTATTATATGGCTGAACTGAGTCTGTGAGCACTTGCTTTTCGCGCGAATTAAATCGGCTATCGTCGGTTTCACTGGGTAACAATATATACGGTAGGCATGCATGCTCAATCAAAAACAATTTGGTTGTTTGAAATTTTTATCTGTAAAGCGCAATTGGAAATTTAAAAAGCAAAATTTTTTTCTGGTTGCAAAGCAAAAATTTCCCGCCAGATAAACGACATCCGGGACACCGGTCCAGATACGGAAAATACGGACCACAGTCCGGATATGGGTTTTCACGGACCGCTTGTCAACCAATCAGAATAGAGAATTTTGAAAAGCCATATAATAAAAACTGTTATTTCACGCTATCCTTTTGCAAGCCTGTTTAGTCTGCGAGAAGATGATTGAATTTGACTTGCATAATTGCATTGCAAAAAAATCTGGATTGCTGCATACAAACGCGGATGGAAACATAACTTTCTGACGGAGGTAACTGTTATAGAAAGTCTGTAGGAAAATTAGCTAAATCAACACACCTTCGACTGAAGCAAATGTAGGTTGATACTCGTAGGTAAGTAGAGGAAATGGCAATTCTCTAAAATAATAAAACAATAGAGTTGATGTGCGTAAATATGCGTTTGAGGCTGAGCTCGAGTCTATCTATCTATATCGATCTACATGCACCAAATACCACACAATGGTCCATTCCCCAATTAACCAAAATTTTGAACTCGACAAGTCTAGGCAAAAATTTCATCACAGCTTGAAAGAGCATCACAAAATTAGTAATATTCCAAAGTTTCGTTGCAAAATGTTGTAAAATGAGGATAATATAGCCTTGCGAAGTTTGCCGTTTTTCAGTCATTTTAGATTACAAACGGGAAATGGTTACAACTTTTTTATTATTATTAATATTATTATTATTAAATATATTTACTGATTTTGTAACCGAAGGTTAAATTACATCAGCTATACTACAAATAATTAAATATAAAGGAGTAAACTACTATTTACAATTTAATTTCGAAATAATTTGTGGTAAGAAGGATTTTCTAAAACGTTCTGTTTTACAATAATAATTATTATATTTACAATTTCCCCTCGTATCATAGACCGAAGAGGATTTATTAGGTAAAAATTCATCCAATTTTTGAAGGTTCTCATCTCTCAAAAAGAACTGTTCGCATAAAATCTCACGTCGTTCCTTCAAGGATGGAATATTAATAAGTTCGCGTGCATCGTTATAGCTAAGTTCTGGTAAAATAATTCTCAAAGCTCTTCTTTGAACCATTTCAATATCATCATTCAAATAACCTGGAATGTTGAAGTGCCAAACTTGGCAAGCGTATTCTAAGACTGGCCTTATAATAGTGGTAAATGCGATGGATAACATTCTAGTGTCAGCGTTGGCTCGTTTCAATAACCTAAGCATATACAATCTTTTCCCAGATTTCTTAACAATTTTATTAACGTGTTCATTCCAATTCATTTTGGTCCCGTAACGCCGAGAATTTGGGCAGAATTTACACGTTCAACCTCAGTGTTCTCGATTAATAATGCTGGGAAATTCCGTTTTACCCTACCAAAGTCAAGGATCATTTCTTTACATTTAGTGACATTAAGTTTCATATTATTTGTAACCGTCCAATTATAAATATAATCGACGAGATCCTGAAGATTACTGCTACAATCAACCATGACACTTTCAGTAGCCGTACTATCATCTACATACTTCCATCGGTCGGGCCATTCATCGAGGAGATCGTTGATCATAACCAAAAAAAGAACAGGACCCAAAACAGTTCCCTGCGGTACTCCTCCGTTTAAAACTTTCCAACTCGAAGACGAACTACCCAGCTTCACACATTGCCTCCGTCCAGTTAAAAAACTTTTAATCCAATTAAAAATAGTTGGGGGAACGTTCAATTCCAATAATTTATGCAACAAAATGTTGTGGTCTATCAGGTCGAAAGCCTTAGAAAAGTCAAGAAGAAACACTCTAACGGCGCACTTTGACGCATCAGTTTCCTTTAATAAGTGATGTACCAAACTAATTAAATTATGAGTCGTTGAGGAATTCTTCAAAGAGCCAAATTGCCTCTTATCAATTTTGTTCTTGATTGAACTAATCAACCAATCAGATACAAACTATTCGCAGATTTTAGACAAAGTAGGTGTCAATGAAATAGGACGCAAATCGGTTATGTCTGCAGGTACCGATATTTTTGGTATTGGAATAACTTCAGCGTCTTTCCATACTGCAGGAACGTGCTGTTGCTGTATCGAAGCATTAAAAAGTGAGGCAATTGGTAAGGCTAAGATATAAGCATAATGTTTAAGTACCCAATTTGGGATGCCGTCTGAACCTGACAATTTCGAGATACATATATCAGACAATTTATTATACACACTTTCTTCGTCAATAATAAATTGGGGATGAATGTTACTTTCATTAAACTCGAACTGACTTTCTGTAGATTCTGGCTGTAAAGGTGTAATTTCATTAGTAATTGATATGAAGAAGTCGTTAATTTTATTTGCTAAAACATTTCCAACAACAATCTCATTGTCAAGGACCATAGACGATATTGCCTTTCTCTTCGAATACCCTGCGAATTGTTTTATACAATCCCACCACTTTTGCGGGTTAGGATTAGATTTAAGCTGGTCCATTTTTTTTATCAAGATAGCTGGACCTCAGTTGTTTCCTTTTTCTATTGGCTAGGTTACGCAAATAATTGTACTTTTGGATATTCCTGTCATGATATGCTTTTTGCCTATCTTTAATGATTTTATGTTTGAATTCTGGCGTTACCCAGGGTTTATCATTAGCATGTAGTTTGATAATTTTAATCGGAAAGAAACAATCTAAACCAGTGTTGATAACTTTCGTGAAAATATCTAGCTTGTCTTTACACGAGACAGTACGATACAAAGTCGACCAATTATAATCAGCTAACCATTTTCCAAACGCTGTCTTGTTGGCATGTATATTACGTCGAATTTTCACTTTATTGGTCTCGTTTTTTATCAGATTTCTTTTAAGTGTACATAACACAGAGCTATGGTCGCTTAGTCCAATAGGAGAGGTTACCAATGCAGGGTTCCAACAGGCAGACATATTCGTAAGAATTAGATCCAGGGCAACATTTTTCCTCGTAGGTTTTTTGAAAATTTGTTTTAGTCCGAAATGTCTTAGTAACGCTGAAACAGGACATCTATTAAAGTCACCGACCAGGAAAATTCCTGCATTTGGGTACTTCATAAGGGCTAAATCGAGGCTTAAGGTAATGTGTTCGACTGGGGCATGATTATCGTTGGATGGTGCATGATAAATAACACATACTATCAGGCATGAAAAGCCTCGAGGAAGTTTATACGGTCTCAAATATAACCACAAGCTTTCAAAACATTCGTCTTGTAGTTCGGGCAATAATTTAAATGGAATAGATGATTTAATAAAGGCGCACACGCCTCCTCCTATCTTGTTAACTCAATCACGCCTGACAAGGGAGTAACCATCAATTTCGACAGCGCTGTCGCGGATGTTTTCACTCAGCCACGTTTCTGTAATAAAGACCATGTTTATACAACTTGCTTTCAGAATAGTTTCTAACTCATCAATCTTAGGAAGAAGTGATCTTACATTAGATAGAATAAACAAAGGTTCACCACTTTGGGGAACACTGTTAAGGGGCTCCTGATGAAACTTGGAACTATGCAGGCACATTGTATCCTGAGTGCTTATACTTTCAGATTTAACTGGGAACATTGATGTTTCAATATAAATTAGGTTACTAAAATTTGTTGCATTTGGTGTTTATGACGTCGATATTCGACGTCATAAACACGATCAACTTTGGTGTTTATGACGTCGATATTCGACGTCATAAACACGATCAACTTTGGTGATCAACAAAGTTGATCGTGTTTATCACGTCGAATATCGACACCATAAACATCAAAGTTGTTCGTGTTGATGACGTCGAATATAGACGTCTTAAACACCAAAGTTGATCGTGTGTATGACGTCGAATATCGACGTCATAAACACCAAAGTTGATCGTGTTTATGACGTCATAAACACCAAAGTTGACCGTGTTTATGACGCCGAATATCGACGTCTTAAAAACACCAAAGTTGATCGTGTTTATGACGTCGAATATCGACGTCATAAACACCAAAGTTGATCGTGTAACACCAAAGTTGACCGTGTTTATGACGTCGAATATCGACGTCATAAACACCAAAGTTGATCGTGTTTATGACGTCGAATATCGACGTCATAAACACCAAAGTTGATCGTGTTTATGACGTCGAATATCGACGTCATAAACACCAAAGTTGATCGTGTTTATGACGTCGAATATCGACGTCATAAACACCAAAGTTGTTCGTGTTTATGACGTCGAATATCGACGTCATAAACACCAAAGTTGATCGTGTTTATGACGTCGAATATCGACGTCATAAACACCAAAGTTGATCGTGTTTATGACGTCGAATATCGACGTCATAAACACCAAAGTTGATCGTGTTTATGACGTCGAATATCGACGTCATAAACACCAAAGTTGATCGTGTTTATGACGTCGAATATCGACGTCATAAACACCAAAGCTGATCGCGTTTATGACGTCGAATATCGACGTCATAAACACCTAAGTTGATCGTGTTTATGACGTCGAATATCGACGTCATAAACACCAAAGTTGATCGTGTTTATGACGTCGAATAT